AAACCCACAATCCCAGCCTAATCATGAGGAAAACATTAGATAAATGCCAACAGAGGGATAGTCTACAAAATACCTGACCAGTACTTCTCAAAACTGTCAAGATCCCAAAACAAGGAAAGTCTGAAAAACTGTCATAGTCAAGAGGAGCCTAAGGAAACATGACAACCAAATGTAATGTGGTATCCTAGATGAGATGCTGGAACAGAAAAAGGACATTAGGTTAAAAACTAACGATATCTGAATAAAGTATGGACTTTAGTTAACAATAATATATCAATCGATATTGGATCATTAATTGTAACAAATGTACCATACTAATGTAAGATGTCCATAAGAGGGGAAATTAGGTATGGAATCTATGAAAACTCTCTGTATTAGATTGTCAAAGCTCTTCTAAAAAAAATCAAGTCTATTAAAAATAGTAAAATCAATTCTGATTCATCAAGAGGAAAGCAGTGTGCCTAAATTCCCAAACTTATTTGTCTATGGAATCTTTTGTGTGGAGCATCTCTCAGGGCTAGTATTCAGCAGAAAACACTCTAGAAAATGCTAATGCAGAATAAGAAGCCCCATAACCTCATCAGTCTAGAAAATTAAGTACCAGTCTAGCTTTTCAAAAATTTCAGAGAGCTGATTTACATCTCAAGTCTTAAGACATGATCAAAATCTAAGTGAAGATAAAATAACTCATAAAACTTTAACAGAAGCCAGGCAAGGTGGCTCTCGCCTGTAATCCTAGCACTCTGGGAGGCTGAGGCAAGTGGATTGCTTGAGGTCAGGAGTTCGAAACCAGCCTAAGCAAGAGTGAGACCCCGTCTCTACCATAAACAGAAAGAAATTAATTGGCCAACTAATATACATAGAAAAACTTAGCCGGGCATGGTGGCGCATGCCTGTAGTCCCAGCTACTTGGGAGGCTGAGGCAGGAGGATTGCTTGAGCCCAGGAGTTTGAGGTTGCTGTGAGCTAGGCTGACGCCACGGCACTCACTCTAGCCTGGGAAAACAAAGTGAGACTCTGTCTCAAAAAAAAAAAAAAAAAAAAACTTTAATAGAAAAAAGAAATCAAATTTTTCCATGGTATAATTCCAAAATATTCTCTGCCCACATTTTACTGAATAAAATGGGGAAAGAAACACCAACTGGATTTTTTTAAAGTTCTTTTTGATTGTAAAGGGCAAAGAACCACCTGCTAAGAAACCACCTGTACCCTTCTACTTCCTAGTGCTCCTATAAAACTTCCTAGCCACCTCCTTTAATCACACAGCACTTTTTTTTTTACAGCACTTTCTACCATGTATTACAGTCACTTGTGTCCAAGTCTTATTCAACTACTAAACGATGTAGTTACCTAAAGGCAGAATCTGTATCTAATTTATTACTGAATCTCCACAGCAGAATATCTTCTACTTAGTAGGCATTCAGTAAATATGTTTTTGAACTCCTGACTTTGATCAAGCCACCTGCCTCAGCCTCCCAGAGTGCTAGGGTTACAGGTGTGAGCCACTTCGCCCAGCCATATGTTTTAAATAAATATTGTAATAACTGCTAGAAAAGATGGCAAACTCCTATACCATTAATTCAACATAAACTTACTAAGTTCCTGCTACAGAAAGGTCAGTGTACTAGATGCAACAGGTATGTAAAAATATTTTTAAACTATTAATTCTTTCAAGAGTCAGATAACAAAAGTCAGGAAAATGTATACAGAAATTACTACAATACAACACAATTTGTGATAAGGGCCATAATATAATAGAGATCTATAAAAGATCAAGAGAGGGAGAGATCTCTTTCAACAAGGGTAATCAAGAAGAGACACCATTTGAGCTGACCCTTACAAAGTAGATGGGATTTTCATAATGTAAAGCAGTCAGAAAGGGCTTTCGAAGACAAGAAAACAAACTATAAGAAGTGTTGTTGATGCAAGAGAAAAAGGCAAAATGATTCACTTGCATGGACACATAAGACAGTTATAAGACAGTGAAGATTGACAAAGTGGAAGAGGAGGCTGGGCACAGATAGTAAAAATTCTTCAATGCTGAGCTTTGGAGTAGAAACTTCATTTGTTAGGCAACTGCTAGTCACTGAAGGTTTGTTAAAAGGGCAGTGAAACACATTAGAAGAGTTCACCTACTTACTAATGAAAGTTAATAATATTGAGAATACATAAAGAGATGGGGAGAGAGATAGATTGAAAGTTGGGAGGTATAAGAGTAAGACAAGGATGCGAATTAAAGCACACTATCTGAAATAAACACTCAATAAAAGATAATGATTATCAGCATTATCACCATAATCATTTTCTGATCACTATGGCAATAGCCTTGATAACAAAAAGAAAGACTGTAAGACTATGGGAAGAAATAATTTATAGAGCTTTAGTGACTATTTGGATATGGAAAACCGGTATCAAAGATATCTCAAGTCTAAATTACTAAAATAATGGAAACCTACAAACAAAAATAGGAAAGTCAGGAAGGGACATTTATTTTAGGAAGAAGGTAATAAAATCAGTTTTCAACATGTTGAATTTGATCTCACAGAAGAAATGTATGATGGATAATTGATCATAGAGGATTAGAGCAAAAAGAGATATGGCAACAAAGAAAATGGAAGCTGTGAAAGCTTGTATGACATAATCTGAATATTTTAAAGTAAGCGGCAAATGTTAAAAATGAGTGAGACAGAGGCAGAATTGGGGGCCACAAAAGCATGTAAAGGTTTTAGAAAAACCTAAATGGAAAGCAAGTAATGAATAAAGATTAATGAAAGTACTGACAGGTAGCAAAAAGAATCTTTAAAAGGTAAATGAATTTACACTAGACTAATGGTTAACACAGGACTTGTGTAATTTTTCCCTGAAGTAGTCAAGGGTTTGGGAGAGAAGAGAAAATATTAAATAATAGAGTAGCCTTAGGCTAAGGACTACAATGGCAGACAGAATAGTAGTCTGATGAAGCAAGAGATTATGAAGTGCAAGAAAGAACATGATAGAACGGAAGTCATGTGACCCAGACTAGGTAGCTTTCACACAAAGAGGAGAGAACCGCCACAGAGAATAGGGAGCTGAAGAACTGGATGTTTCAAGAAGAACAAATCTAGAAAGATAGGCAGATACTAACTGGTAGAGGAGGTAAATAGTATGACTGTGGTCAAAGAATCCATTAGTTCAACAAGCATTTACTGAGAGTGTTCTGTGGGCTAGGTACTATGCTAGATGCTGAGGATAAAAAGCATAGTCTCTGCTATTAAAAGAATGAATAATTTAGGGCATGGATTGGAAAACCTGTAAAAGAGCAGATAGTAAATATTTTAGGCCTTGCAGGTCATAAGGTCTGTATTGTAAGCACTTACCTCTATCACTGCATTACAAAAGCTGCCACAGACAATATGTAAATGAATGAGTGTGACTATGTTCCAATAAAACATATTTTATTAATTCATATAATTTCCTGTGTCACAAGATACTATTTTGATTTTGATTTTTCAGCCAGTTAAAAATGTAAAAAAAAATTCCTAGCTTGCCAGCCATATAAAAATAGGTGTCAGGCTGAATTTGGTCCATGGGCTGTAATATGCTAATCCCTGATGTGAATGGATAAAAAAAAAAAATATATATATATATATACACAATGTACATACTTATCATCCATGTATATTCTCAGCAACTAGCAGTAGGCTTTAAGAATGGACTTATTATTTCTCTATTTGTTTTTTTCAGTTATGATAGGAAACCAGCCTCTGTGTTTTGTTTTCTTACACCTACTATGCTAAAACTGATATTTTCTCTATACCCTTTGAAAGTTTTCAATTTCACTAAAAATATTAGGCACAACCTTCTTAGTTTTAATTTCTTGAGTTTAAATCTTTACAACAAAAGACCACACAATTCTTTCATACTAGTATCATGTAACTATCATGCTTTATGACAAATAAGTAAATACTATCCAATTTCCAGCCCTAAAAAATACCACATGGAAATAGAAATACAAATTTCTGCAAATTATCTCCACATTTTTGTTTGTATTGCCTCCTTTTGTCATCTAATTTTGATGATTTATTTAAATAAAAATAAAAGTTGCAAAATAAAAATCTGCCTAATGTCCACTGTTGTGGAATGTGATAACTCAAGCAGCAGAAAAATTTCAAGAGCAGAACTATAATGATAATTGTTGAAGCTGAGTCATGGGTTCACGGGAGTTCTTTAAGGAATCTTTGACATATTTCATACTAAAAGGGTTTGAAAAATCCATTTCTGAGGCTATGCTGGAGAACGAAGGTCAACTGTGACTGTGCTGCCCATGAAGCGCCCCGGCAGCGGCAGTCACAGAGTCCCAGCCGGCACCACGAGGAAGGCTACGGACAGGATGGTGCCAAAGAGAGGTGGACCAGGCTGTGCCAAGGTGAAGGGCAGTTAGAAGAGTTAGGGCATGTGACAGAACGTACTGAGCTTCTATTTTAATAGCTTTTTATAGTTTTTCTGTTTAAATTACTTTATTTCATCCTTTAAAAGTGATTCTTAGTTGTTTGCCAGCCCATTTGATAGCAGGTTCATCTGAGTTCTGTAACAGAATACAATTAATATGTGACAGCCTGCTGTGAGAACAAATATATTTCAAAGACAGTATGAATAACACTGACTTCAAGGCCAAAATTTTATAGGAACAGGGTATAAGTTCATTCACATTTCATTCCTTTATTATCATAAGGCATGAAGAATAGATTGTCACATAATACTTTCATCATATTTTAAATTTCAAGCCAGTATGGTAAACGATATTTTCCCTTCTACTCAATTTTTTCTAGGATAACTATAGTTAAATAGGCAAGATCCTTGGTTACTGAAAATAAAGAGAGAATATCCGAATACTATTAACATCAATTTAGTGGTTCTTACCAAGGCTTTCATAATGAATAATACATACTCCTGACAATAAGGACCTTTTACTCTGCATAACTCAAGCATGTAAAAATGAAATAAAAATGAACAATAGCCAACCTGTGCCTTCCTCATGTATACCAAAGGTTCTTTAAGATGCTCAGGAGGTGCAGCAGGATGACTTGGTAAAGGAAATCTAGGAGCAAAAAGAGGCAGCTAAATATTACACATTTATTCTCTTGGTTGACAATACTTACCTCTATCGTCCATTTTATAAATGAAACAGAATATTTGATAGTTCTATATATTTACACAAGGTGCAAGGGCCTACTAAAACTTTAATTCTTATCCTAGTAGTATTGAATTTCTAGATTAAAATTTCAATTACATAGTAAAAGTTACATTGCATGATAATCTGAATTCATAAATTGAGGTAATTTTAAAATTACCTATCTCTGTAAATGCTCACATAAAAATTGTCATAACCATTAATTTTAGCATACAAATATTATAACATTTAAGGGAACTTTTAAGGTTAAAAACATCCATTAACTTACCAATGTATTAATTCATTTCATGTCTCCTAATTTCCTTGTCCACATGATTGTATATATTTTTTACATAATTGAAATAGTAATATAAACAATGCTTTTGGTAACAGCCACATTTTAATATGTAATACATAAATCTACAAATTTAATATAACTTAAAAATTTTAATTCTGTTATCCAAGTAATATTATATTTTATATTATATATTGTTTTTATTAAGAAAATAGATTTATTTAGTCAGCAAATATTTTAGCCATTCTAGGTTCTAAGTATAAAGTGATGATTAAGAAAATATTTGCTGTTCTCATGGACTTCATATTCTAGTGAAAGGCAGTCAATAATTATGAAAACAAACAAATCAATAGAATAATATCAGATAGTAATAAGTGCAATGAGAAAATGAAAGGTAGGGTGATGAGATATAAGTAATTTGAGAGGCAGTGAAGGCCTCTAGGGGATACAATATTTCAACTAAGACATGGGTGAGAAGAATTTGCCAATCAGGCCAATATCTGGGAGAAGAGTATTCCAGGCAGAGGGACAGCAAGCACAATAGTCTGAAGAGGGAATATTTGGAATGTTTAAGGATCAAAAAAAAGCCAGCATAGTGGGAACATAATGACTGAAGTGCAGAGAGGTATGAAATCACAGACAGAAAAGGCAATAGAAAGACATAATGGTTCAATATTTACTTAGAGATTTCAGTCCTTTCCTCAACAATATATAATTTCTATTGAAATCAGTCATAGGACTTGTATCTACAGCAAAGCAACCATGTTCCATTAACCAAAAACCACAGACTGAATGCTCAAGAAATTCCTGCTCCAAAGTGGGACATTTGTTAAGGGTTAATAATCCCAAACACTTGCATCTGTCCCAGAGCCTGAAGTGTAAAAGGCTCAACTGTCCACAAGAAACACTGCTGGAATAGAAAAAGGCAACCTATCCCACACAATGTATAAGACAATTTCACAAATTGATTATTTCTGGCAAACTATTTTTTCTACTAAAAAAAAATTGGTAGTCTCTAGATACTTCGATATTTCTTGTCTTATATGCAAGACAGTTTAAAATCTATCTCACATTACCCAATTTGCTTCCATTTTAATGGCAATTATGTCTAAATTTAATAAAACTTAGAAATTTAGTATTAAAACTTGAAAGCATTTACTGATAATCTTAAGAGTTATTTAATGATCAAAGAAATTTACCCAAAAATATAGGTAATAAGAAGAGGCAACTCAAAAGTCATTCACATTGAAACCAAAATCAAGTTAGATATTTATTTATGCATAAATACTTCACAAAAGCCTACTAAATGTTCAAAGTAAAAGAGATATAGAAGTGAACAAAACAGGTCAAAAATATCTGCCCTCATGGAGCTTACAATTAGTAATATGAAGAGATAAGTTTGCCAGATGGGATAATGCACAGAAATCTATACAGTACCCTTGACTCTATTTCTTCTTGTTCCCCAAGTCCCCATAAATACCTCTCAGCTTTTCTACCCACTGACAGTATCCTATTTTAGGCAACCATTATCCCTTTCCTACATTCAGTTCCTAAGCAGTTCCCCCTGCTTTCATACTATTTTCAACCTATTCACTAATATGCCTGTCAGCCAGGAGTGATACCTTCCTTTATTCACAATTGTATTTCCAGTGTCTAGCATAATGCCTGACACATACTAGATAACCAATACATTGTTGAACAAATAAGATGCAAATGTGATCATGTTACTACTTTGATTAAATTTTTTAAATGGCACCCAAATGTTTTTAGGATCCAGTCTACAAAGCCTTAATTAAGCACATCCCCCGGCCGGGCGCCCATAATCCTAGCACTCTGGGAGGCTGAGGTGGACAGATCGTTTGAGCTCAGGAGTTCGAGACCAACCTGAGCAAGAGTAAGACCCCATTTCTACTAAAAATAGAAACAAATTAATTGTCCAACTAGAAATATATTGAAAACATTAGCCGGGCATGGTGGTGCATGCCTGTAGACCCAGCTACTCGGGAGGCTGAGGCAGAAGGATCGCTTAAGCCCAAGAGTTTTGAGGTTGCTGTGAGCTAGGCTGATGCCATGGCACTCTAGCCTGGGCAACAGAGTGAGACTCTGTCTCAAAAAAAAAAAATCCCTGTGGACAAATCTAGCATCATCTGTTGCCAAGTCCCCTTCACTCGCTACCATCCAGCCATACAAACTTTTGTTCTCCTTTGTGCCACTTTCTTTTCCATCTCTAAATCCTGAGCCTATATTTCCCTTCTGACTAAAGTACTTTTCTTCTCTACTTCTTCCCCTAACTCCTCTACCTTAGCTTTCTGACCCCAGCCTGAATATTGTTTCTTTTGGTAAGCCACTAGAGCACCCCCAAATCTGAGTTATGTGCCTGCCCCATGGTTCCATGTACTTCCCCAATCACAGGACTTATTGTACTGTAAATGCCTCCTTAAAGTCTGTGTGCCTAACTGGGACGTAAGCTCCATGAAAGCGAAGACCACCTGGCTTGTTCATTATCCTCAGCACACTGCTCAGTGCATAAACATAAGCAAATATATAGTAGCATTTTAAACTAAGAGGGGTAAGAAGAACTTTATGATTAGGACATTTTGGAGGTACCTATGTCTACTGCCTGAGCACTCTCCCAGCGAAAGCCATGAATGCATCACAAAGACGTATCTGAATTTGTGTTCTACTGTAAAGTACTCATTATCTAAAACCCTTCCATTTTAGGGCCACTAGTCTTTAACACTCATATCTCTCTAAAGTATGGTAGACATGTGTATATATCAACTGTAACAGTAAACTACGGTATATGTTTTTATAACTTGTACATATAGAATACATTTTTTAAAAGGTTTACTTCTTTAATTTATGTTCTTTAAGGGAAATAAGAGGTCATCTAATTCTTTATAAACTGCTCTGTACTTGAAGACCAAGACATAGAAATAAGCTGGTGTATTTTCATTTTGTGTGTAAAGATTGTGTTAGTTAAATCTTTATAATAAGGTTAGGATTGATAATTACACTGTTTCCTCAATTTAACAGATATTTATCATGTGTTAATACTGGTACAGTTAGTTGCTCAATAACTATTTGCTGACTCAATGTACTTTTTGTGATGATATTACTAAAAGAAACACAAGACACAATTCTTGTTACAGAATATTTTTAATGCAGTCAAGAGATAAGATATAGACTTATGGGAAATATAGCAAAATGCATGGGCTTTGGAATCAGATAATTAAAAGTCAAGCTCTAGCACTGCCATTTACTAGCTATACAATCTTCAGCAAGTTACTTAGGTGTTCTGCCATAGTTTGAAGGTTTGTCCCCTTCAAAACTCATGTTGAAATTTAATTACCATTGTAATAGTATTAAGAGATGGGACCTGTGAGAGGTGATTAAGGCATGGGAGCTTCACCCACATGGGTAGGACTGGTGCCATTATAAAAGGATGTGTTTGGTCTCCTCTTGCCCTCTCTCGTCCTCTCACCTTCTGTCATATGATGACGTAGCAAGAAGACTCTTGCCAGATGCTAGTACCTTAATATTGGACTTCCCAGCCTCCAGAACTGTGAGCCAATAAATTTATGTTCATTATAAATTACCGAGTCTCAGATATTCTGTTATAGCAGCACAAAACAGACTAAAACAGGGGTCCTCAAACTTTTTAAACAAGGGGCCAGTTCACTGTCCCTCAGACTGTTGGAGAGTGCACACTGTGGGCCCAGGACGAGTCGGCTGCTAAGCAGGACAGGCAGTGGTGGCAAAAACATCCAGAGGGCCGGATAAATGTACTAGGCAGCCTGTATGTGGCCCATGGGCCGTAGTTTGAGGACGCCTGGACTATGACATAGTCTAAGCCTCAGTTTTCTCTTCTGTAAAATGGTGATCATAATAAATTCTACTTCATAGAGTTGTTACAAAAATTACATTAAATAAGCCAATGCATATAAACTGCTTAGCACAGTATCTGGCACAAAATAAGCATCTAACCAATGTAAATTATCATTAATATAATATTGAATAGTTATAAACACAATAATAAATATGTAACTTATCATTTAAAATGAGTAGAAAAGATAACGAATTGAGCAAAGTAAACACCCAAGTAGAAATAGCTAACCTAGGCTAGATTTACAAATTGCTAGTAAATAACAGAATACAGAAAATTTTCTAGTATATTTGTTAAATAAGAATATGACTAAAATCTTTGGTATGCTTCATAAAATGAAGTGTCCTATTTTCAGTTATGATCTGTATAGCTCATGTGATCTACACTTCTCTTAGGCATGAGAGTGTGTGTATATTTTTTTAACCTCCAATTATTTAATATTACCTAATGAATATTCCTACTTTACTTTTTGCTTTCTTTACTCATCTATCTATTGATTGCTGCCAGTGAAAAATGCAACTGAATGTGCTAACTCCACTTTATTCTTTTGAGTTATGCTAGAGGAACATTTCTTCCCCACTCCCAATGTGCCCTTCCATGTAAAAAGAGCTCTATTACTGTAACATTCTTGACCTCTCTGTAGGACTTAACTCACTACATCACAGAAGTTTAGTGCCTTATTCATCTTTTAAATTTGAGAATAATCTGAACATACTTAACCTTCCAGTCAAATAGCATTGGATCAGGGTAAGTCTATTTAATTCTGTAGTTCAGTTAAGGGATTCATTTTGTTCCTACATTAAGCTATGTCCTCCTGCCTAGTCTTTATATGTAATAAAAGTGTAATTTTGATCTCCGATCTGCCTTTCTGTTTTATCAGACTTCTCAATTTATTCAGAACCCAAGTGACAAGGAAAGGTATTTATTACTGGACTCCTTCGAAAATCCCAAGTTATTCAAAAAATATTTATTTAAAATTCTATTCTATAGTATACCAAAGACACAGTACTGAATGAAACATAGTCCCTGCCATCAAGTAAAAGAGCAGTCTGTCACACAGACCAATTTTCAGGAATGCATTAGATCACAAAACCAGCAATCATTAGTAATATCTCCTCAGACTGAGAATCCAATATTTGGAATTTCACACAACAGGCATCTCTAGTACATAATGTAAACTTAAAACCTTACTGTCATGATAAATGTCTATTCCTTTGGTGACTAGTGCTACCAAACATATGATCACGGTCAACTTCAATTAATAGATAGCACTTGTATTTGATCTTATTTAAGAACTCAAAAACCAACTGGGAAGATGGTGATAAGCAAAAAAGTAAATAATAATTTAAAAATAAAATTAACTAATGCACATATCTACAGGCCTTCATCTGAGTCTCTTTATTTTAGAAACAGTTCTGCTAAACTGGATTATCTTATTTCCCAGTTAACAAATTAGAAGGGGCAAGTTGGAAATGAGAGTGTTAGAAACTAGAGAATGCTAGAGACACAGATACAGAGATAGCAATAAAAAATAGAAGTAAAAAAAAAATAGCAGATATAAAAGCTCTATTAGACTATGAATTCCATGAGGCAAGAATTGTGTTTCTTCTTCTATACTAAATCCATAGTGCCTAGCATAGTGCTGGCACATTGTAGGTACTCAGTAAGTACTTGATGAATAACAGAATGTTGAATAAACTACAAAAGCTAACATTCTAGATCTAGAGTTTTTGAAACACAAACAATACTCCTGAATAGATCCTGACACTAAATCTAGATAAACAAAAACACTGTTCTTAATAAAGACAACAATTTTGTAAAAAAAGATAATTATATTTAGAATAGTCAGTTTATAAAGACAAAAAAAATGTAATATCCAAAATGGCAATAATAAAAAGAATGTTAATAAACTTCAGTTATTGGAAATATTAACTTAAGAGAAATATCTTACTCCCTAATTTACTGGATGAATGAATTATTAATGTAAAATATGAGGTAGTTAAAAAAAAAACCCCTATTCATGATTGTCAGGCAGGATTGTCAGTAACTTTAAATTACATTAACTTACTTGAAATGCTATATAAGTACTAATGAGAAATAATAATACAATGAGTATACATAGCAATACCGATTATTACTCACAAAGTAAATATAGCTAAACCAAACAGTATCTCAAAACAGTGTGGGAAAACTCACACACTAAGTTCACTATAAACAGCATTCTGAAGTTTCTTCTCCCAACCTGTTTTAAAAAAAGAATAAAATATATGAACATATTAGCTTTTTAAATAAACAATATCATAACTAAATTTATCTCACTAAAATTGGGGTATAATATTTATTTGTGAAAATGTTCTCAACTGTCAATTGCTATGTAAAGTGGTATTAAGGAATTATTTCCTATATATTTATCATATCCTTTGGCTAACACTGAGTAGCAATGTCATCAACATGATATTATTTTTAAATAATATCATTATTTTAAATAATATCATTATCATTTTCTCAAGCTAAGAGGAACATTTCCTTCTTTCACTACCAAGGTACTCAATGCCAAACTCTTTGGAATGTTGTATTACTAATGCTATGAGGAATGTGCCAAGGGAAAGTATAAAAATCAGGCCCCTGATGAAGATAAATCAGAAGTATGTAGTTATAATTAACTAGTCAATAAAATCCCAGACAACAGAAGCAGATTATTTTGAGTTACCAATAGTCAGAGCAGTTATTTCAGCTGCTAAATAACTATCTGGGTACCACTTAACATGTCAGTTCTTATGTGTAGAGGTTGGAATAAGGAACCTCTCTCTTGCTTTACAAAAAAATTAGAATTTTCTTTTTATTTTCTTTGAAAGCATAGAAAAATAGTAGGAAGAAAGTGTAAAAGGGAAAAAAATCACAATTGAAAATTAAAAAGACAAGTTACTTAACTAAGGAGATACTTAATATATTCAAGATGTACTTTGACTAGGAAGGTAAACAGTATTTGAAACTAATTATCACAAAGCAGTCATTCTCACAGTGTTCCTGAATTTTTGCACCATTTTATTAAAATGCCCAATTTTCCCCAAATAGAAACTTATTCAGCCAGTTTTCAGAATTTTGAATGAGTAATTGGAAGCCTGGGGATAAAATATTTTGCCTTAAAGAATTAGGAATAAATAAAACATTTCCTTTTTTGCCTTCAATAATTAGGAAAAAACTTACAAACCTGATATTTTAAAGAATTCCTTAATATCTTCTTTTAGTGATTCAAGTTTAATCTCAGGTCTCTGAAGACTGGCCTAATTTTTTAAAAAAGAAGAAAAAGAAGAAGACAGGAAATGACAGGTCAAAAGTAAATCACTTGGGTTGATTTTTAACACAAATGAAATTTTTAAAAAGGACTGTCCAAATGTGTATACTATTTGAAAAGTATTCTTTGAGGATAGAGCTTAGAACTATTTAGACTAGCTTATAAGAGAGGCTTCCTCATCTATTCTTAAAATAGAGAATCTGTGACAGTATACTCAAAATATACAAACTTGCAGCTTTTGAGTACTTAACATCTTTACCTAACATTTCAAGTAGGAAAAATACTCATATTTTATAAATTTATTCCCTTACTATTATATCCAACATATATGGCACCTATACTTAACGACCAAAAAATCACTTGCACACATAAATAGATCTTTATATAGGGTCTTCCTCTTTGAATTCCTGTTCAGTGTAAACATGCATTTGTTGCATGTATTTATGGAAAATACATAAAACTATTATACTAATTCATAAATGCTTATTATTAATATCTTATCTTCAAGTGCATGCTTTCTATTCTACTGGTTTTTTACACTGTAATTTTTATCAAAAACAATTTTTCCTATTTGTAATGGCTTTGATTGCTCTCAAAGCATTAATGTTTTATCACCCAGCTTTATCAAATTCTAGCAGCCTATTTCTTAAGAAGGCATTCTATTAGGGGTGTCTCATAAGCATTTCAAACTTAAGAAATCAAATATTGATCTTATCTTCCACTCATTTCCTTGTTCCTTAGTCTTTTTTTAGTCTTCATCAAGGAAATCACCATCCACCACATCTTCCAAGTCAGAAATCTCAAAGTTATTCTCAATTCCACTCTAACTCTTCCATGATTCAACCCCTTTCTGGAAAGATGGCAAAATCTCCACATAGAAACAGAGCAAGAAACTAAAGAGTAAAACCAAAATCCCATGGAAAATACTTACAACAAAACTAGATGATAAGATATCCCCCACAAATACAAGCAGCTGGGGACAAACCAACACCCATAAGACCTGTTTGATATTAGCATCTGTACAGGAAAAAGCAGAGGAAAGCAATGGGGTATCTGATGTATGTGAAAACAAGAGAACTCCCAAACAGCCAACAAATATACACCTGAACACATGATGAGCCAATTTGCAAACAGGAGCTAAAACTGGGAAAGGTTTTGCCTAATCCAATATAGCAGGTGAGGTCTGAAGAGACTGCAGCAGTCTAACACCTATAAATTCTTATAACTACCAATCAGGGTTCCCTTTCCAGACAAGGTCTAAAAATGTTAATAAAGTTATCAAAATTGAGCATGATAGAGAACTAACCCATTGCCTTGAAAACTGGCAAATAAAGAAAAAAGCATTTATCTTGCCTTTCCTGTTGGAGATGTACCATTGGATAACCAAATAACAAATGAGAGGAAATGTCTCTTTAGAAAATATTATAGCTAATAGCTAAAACAGATATAAATATCACAATTTTGCAACCTTCAATGAATTTCTAATTCTAAGCATTGAACAGAAACAGCTACTGCAAAGAAGACAACCAGATATTATGTGGTTCTCAATGAAAGAACACTCTACTGCCTATTGTCATGCTAAAGTCTGATGAAATCTCTGGGTCCATCTGTCAACTTAAAAGGTATACAAAGGATAAAGGAACATTTGAGCCATACCATGAGTTTGCAATCAGAAAAGTCCAGGCTATGGGAAATTCTAAGGTCAAGCGGCCCAGTTCTTCAGATGATAAATTGTAAAGGGGGGTGGAGGGGGCAGGAAGGATGGAGAGAAAATCTATAAAATCTATAAAAGACTTAAATATAAAAAAAAATTATTTGGCAAGACTAAGGTGTAGTGTCTAGGGATATACATTTGGTTAATGAAACTATCAAGAAATGAAGAGAAGTGATTACCATAAGCACCATAAGCTATCAGGGAGGGAGGGGTTTGTGATTGGGATTAGGAGGGAGCAAATGGAGAGATTTCTACTGTGGCTAGCAAAGTTTCACTTCTTCACAGAGTGGAGAGTAATTGTTACAAAGTCTGTTTGACTTTATAATAATACATTACAGATTTATATCTATAATATAAATATATATTTATATATTTATAGAACAATAAAAAGATCAAAAAAAGAAGAGAAAAAATGTGTACCCCAATCTATTCTTTCTCTCCATTTTAAAATCCCACATTTTGTCTAGGTCCTCATCACTTCTCATTTGGATTATAGCAATAGCTTCTGAACTAGACATTTTACCACCTTACTTAAATTGCAACCACTCTCCACCCAACATTCTCAAACCCCTTGACTCTATTTTTCTCCTTTCTTAGCATTTACTGCCTACTAATATAATTAATTTATTTACTATGTTTATTGGTATATTATCTCATTATACTGGAAAAGGTATGTTCCACTACAGCAGACATCTTTGTCTTTTTCACTGTTGTATCCCAAGTTTCTAGAATAGTTTCATATAGTAGGTGCTCAATGAACATTCATTGAATGTATGAACCAGTTTCTCCCTTTTCCAATCTATCCTCCAGTGTTTTCTTTCTAAAACATTAGTCTTTCTTGGATATGGCTCTTCACAGCATACATAAGAAGTCTAAATTTTTCAACAGGGCATACTTGGCCCTTCACAAGGTCAACCCAACTTATCTCTACAAATTAATCTCCTGTTGCTGCTCTGCCGAGTTAACAACATCCTCTTTTTTCTCACACCTCCTCCTCCCCACACAAACTACTACTCTCTAGTCATACTGAACTGTATTTGCTGATTCCCCAAGTCAAGTCCTTTAAGGGCTCCAGGCTTTTGTTCATGCTTCCTCAGATGGAAGGTACTCCCTTACCACCCTGGCAAACACCTACTAACTTCCAAGACATCCCTCAAATAACACCTTTTCCTACTCCCCCCAGCAAGGATAGAACATTATTTTCCTCTGTTACAGCACTTATCAAATTATAATTTCCAGCTTAGCTATTTAATCTTTTTAACTAGACTATAAATTCATTTTTGCATCCCAAGTATTTACCCTGATGTTAACTGCTACTTGACAAAATTATGTTGACCAAACCACCTTCCACCCTTTTAAAGCAAATTACCTCCCAAAACAAACATGGAACTTGATAAAATTATTTTTAACTGAAGAGACTGGTTTCTAGTCTGTTATTCCTAGGAAAGATTTTAAAAGCCTTAAACCCCCTGTGCATTATTCGAAAGCACCAGAGCAAAAGGAAATAAGCTTTCTTAATCTAGTCTGTATTTGGAAATGATCCAAAGATAGCACAAAATAAAGAATTTTAAAAGAAAAAATTGGTTATTCTTTCTAAACATTTTCAATATTTCAGAGTTGCTAGCCTCCTACGTATAATTTTTATACTAAAGGCAAACCAAATTTACTAACTACCTAAGCTAATTATTAAGAAATCTTCAGAAATTTAAGAATCAAAAGCAGGACTGTGACAAGAGGACAACATGGAAAGGCTCAGTGGTTCTCTAACCTGATTCAGCAGCATAACCCTTTCTGCAAATAGAATCTAAACCCTATTAGGAATCCTACCATATAAAAATACATTGAAAGTGATATTACTATACAATGAAAACAAAAAGCCTTTTCTCATTTACTAATGTTATGACTAACAGGTACAGCATTATTCTGATATAGCCTCAATATCCAACTTATTTCTGTATTTTGTTTTGGTTGCTCAATATAGAGAAAAATCCCAATCACAAACATAAGAGTTTACATTTTTATTCCTTCCCTGGCAATCTCAGCACACACCCAAATTAAACTGATAGAGGAAATGGAAAAAGAAGTGGTTGGAAATTTTATTTTGAGGTAAATCCTAAAATTACTTATCATAAATACAAAAATCAAAGAGCTTCAGATACTTATAATTGCTAAAACTACGCATAACATGGTACCACTACACATGACATATTACTAGCTCACTTGTCACACATCTCAGCAGTATGCCATGACAGGGACCTGTTGTTGAACAGATGCACTTGCGCTCTGCCTGGCCAACACCAAGCACAACATACCTACTGCAGTAGGAACATCACTTGGAAAATGTATTAATTCCATGAGCAAACAGGCCCAAACCGACATATTTTAATAGACCAGTGTAGAGTCACATCCTTCCACATCAAGGACACATTTGTAAGCTGTCCCCAACACATGAAGAGAAATAAAAGAAACAGCTCTTTTTCTGGAATCACTCAGAAAAAGTTAATTTGGAGTACAGTAGTGGATTATGCACTAAGTACTTGATATTTAATGCATTTGAAAGAGTGTTGATTCTTAATATAGTTTTTAAAT